ACAATGAATGAATGGAATTCCAAAATCTCTGTAGATGTTCATTGAAATGAAAAATAAACAAACTAAATTAAATCATCTAAAAAATAAAAAAAATACTGTATCAGTGGCATTATGCAGTATTTGTCCTTTTGTGAAGGTAGTATTTCATTCAGCATAACATCCTCCAGGGTCACTCATTTTGTATAATATTTCATGAGTTCCTTGTTTTTCAGTGCTGCATAGTATTCCATTATGTGAATATACCGGAGCTTCTCTATCCATTCGTTTGTTGATGGGCACTTGGGTTGATTCCATCTCTTTGTTATAGTGAACAGTGTGCATATATGTTTAGGTGGCCGTTCTGATTTCTTTAGGGTATATTCCCAGTAGTGGAATTGCTGAGTCAAATAGTATCTCTATTTCCAGCTTTTTGAGAAAGTGCCATACTGCCTTCCAGAGTGGTTGCACCATTTGACACTGCCACCAACAGTAAATAAGGGTTCCAATCTCTTCACAATCTCACCAGCATTTGTTGCTTGCTGCTCTGTTGAATTTTGCTATTGTTACTATGGTGAAATGATATCTCATAGTTATCTTGATTTGCATCTTTCTTAGAGCTAGGGATTTTGAACATTTCTTCATGTGTTTGTTTGCCATCTAAATGTCTTCTTTGGTGACGTGTCTGTTCATATCCTGTGCCTGTTTTGTGACTGGGTTGTTTATTTTGTTGTGGTGTTCAAGTATCTGATAAATTCTAGGTAAAAGTCTGTTATCAGACATGTCATGACCATATATTTTTCCCCATTCTGTGGCTTTCCTTTTTACCCTGTTGGAGAAGTTTTTTGATATGCATAAAAAAGATTGGATTTGTAGAAGGTCCCATTCATCTATTTTATCCTTTCTTGGTTGTAGGTTTTTCAGGACAATTAGAAGACTGTTCATGTTGTGGATTAGGGCTTCTACAGTTCTTCCAAGCGTTTCTCTCATGAAGTTTATAGACCTTGATTCACTGCGTAACACCACTGTTATAAAACAGGACTGATATGGAGTTTGGGGGGAAACTAAAGAGGAGATAAATAATATACACTGCATTGAAACAGATGAGGAATAGAACTGCTTCAAAGAAATATATGATTAAGTATTATTTTCATGACAATAGTCCAGAATAAGAGCTGCATAGTAAGGTGGATTGGAGGTTGAGGTGGGGGGATTGTACAAAAAAATGAAAGAATTTTTTTTCAAAGAGAAAAACGAATTGGGGTGGTGCGTGGGGAGGGAAATGTGCAACAATGAGTGAATGGAAGCCCTGTTGTTGTTGTTAAATGCCATGGAGTCGCAGGCGACTCATAGCAACCCTATGAAGGAGAGTCCTCGATGCTTGTGTGTCATTCATCCTCTCTCCAGGTTCATAGGGTTTCCGGAGGCAAGCTATTATGGAAGTGGATGCCACTCCTCCTTCCACGCTTGTTTAATCAGGGAGCTCCACCCCAC